CCAGTCCGAATTAGTTAACCAGGTAATCAAAGATATAGGTGTATGAAGAGGACATTCAGAAAGGTTCCGATGATGGAACACACTGTCTCTCTAGGAGTAATCCAAATGATTAGCAAGGCAGTTGATGCAATCAGTCAGATTAACACATTAATTGTGCACTGAGGTGTTTGAGATTGGAGTTTAAATAACCAAGGGGTGTGTACTTTCATGCCCTCTTAAAGGGCCAGTAATAAACTAATACAATTCCTGACACCACTAAGTTCAGGCCCCATCGACTTATTTGTCTTTATTTTAGACAGCTGAAATAGAACCTCTTCCTCTGTAAACTCACATGTAACAAATTCCTAATTGAGATTAATTTTCTTCATTTTCATCTGTAAATACTGAACAAAAATATTCATTGAGGCAGTCAGCTGTACCTCTTCTACATACCTTCCTTCTTTTGTTTTTAGTCTAAATAATCCTTGTTTTACTTTCCTTTTCTCATTTATGTATCTTCAGAATGTTTTTTTTTTTTTTTACTGACTGGGCTGTTTTCTCTTCTGTGTGTACTTTGGAAGCTCTTTTATAACTTGCTTTGCCTCTTTCTGCCTAATCTTATAGATCTGTCTCCTCACTCTGGGTAGTGTCCCCTTAAGTGGTTTTATGTTTACCAGTAATCAGTAATCTGCATTTATGACTGTATTTGATTTCAAATTACCCTCCTGTATTACTATTGAGCATATGATATCAACCTCTCGCAAGGAGGGCTAATGAATGCATTGCCATGTGCCCCCACTGCTTGGGTTCTGGCTTTATCTGCTAATTCTGTGTATTCTGGGTAATCATTTCATTTCATATTGGATTCAGATTTTTTTTATTTTTATGTAGTTTGCATCATCGATGTTTCTTTGCAGACTGTACCCTGGTCCCTCTCTTTACCCAGCATATCATAACTACAGTGAAACATAGACACATAGAATGTGACGGCAGATAAAAACCATTCGGCCCATCTAGTCTGCCTAATTTTCTAAATTCTTTCATTAGTTCCTTGTCTTATCTTATAGCTAGGATAGCATTATGCCTATCCCACGCATGCTTAAACTCCTTTACTGTGTTAACCTCTACCACTTTAGCTGGAAGGCTATTCCATGCATCCACCACCCTCTCAGTAAAGTAATACTTCCTGATATTATTTTTAAACCTTTGTCCCTCTAATTTAAGACTATGTCCTCTTGTTGTGGTAGGTTTTCTTTTAAATATAGTCTCCTCCTTTACTGTGTTGATTCCCTTTATGTATTTTAATGCTTCTATCATATCCCCCTGTCTCGTCTTTCCTCCAAGCTATACATGTTAAGATCCTTTAAACTTTCCTGGTAAGTTTTTTTCCTAAAGCTCCAATGAGTTAAAACTCATTGGAGCTTTAGGAATGCCCCCTAAATTGGTGGCAACCACTTATCCTTCTTTGCTAAGTTACTTCCAGTTTGTGGGCACGCACAACTTTGGTAGCTGGATAAAGAGCAGATTTTGAATTATCTGTTTGTGAAACAACTACTTTGTCCAGGAAGGTTTGGTCTGCTCCTAAACTTGAACTGATAAGCAGAACCAGCAGGATATTTTCATATATCTTTTTTTTTTTTTTTTAATCTATTTATTTGGTTGCATTTTTGGATACATTTTGATGTCATTTGCTAAATCTGTTATATATAATTTCAAAGAAAACCAAGTATCACAATAACAAAATAAAGTTGACGTAGGTTAAGGTGATTTTCAATGTTCTAATAGAGTGGTGTAATTTCCAGGGATGTCATGGTTCCTCTTTAAAATGACTGTCACCCTCCCTTCACCCACCCCTCCAGAATGAGTATTTTATAAAGATAGAATCTTTATGAAATACTCACATCGACTGTGTTGGAATTTACAGAAATTCCACCCAGTTAAAAGCTATTCTGAGACAAAGTAGGTTTTATATTTTATTTTTAATTTATGATTTTTTTTTGTCTCCTAGTGTTTGGCGGCTGGCTCAATCATTATGAACCGGGAAATAGAAAGCATGGCTATGAGACCTCTAGCCAAAGATTTAACCAGAAGCCTTGAAGAAGTCCGAAACATAATCCGTGACCAGGCTCTCAGGGATCTCAACATGTACACGGACAAAATGAAAGAGTCCCTTAGACATTTTGATGTTCTCTTTGCTGAATTTGAACTAAGGTAAAATATATCAAATGCTTTTTTTTTTCTTCTGTGTTTCAGGAATCATTGTTGGTGAAAACCCTATGGCTAAAACACATCCCAATTTTCCCTCTGTCTGTCTTCTTTTCTAAGAGCCCAAAATTGTTGGTGTGTCTGAGTGTAAAACAGTGCTCCCTAGCAATACTCCGAGTAATGGGTCTTTAAACAATAATAAACGTGTTTATAAACCAGTCTGTGTAAATAAGATGTGCTCCTCTTGTTCTAAGTTACATAGTTACATAGCTGAAAAGAGACTTGCGTCCATCAAGTTCAGCCTTCCTCACACATGTTTTTGCTGTTGATCCAAAAGAAGGCAAAATACCCAGTCTGAAGGGCTTCCAATTTTGCAACAAACTAGGAAAAAATTCCTTCTTGAGCCCAAAATAGCAGTCAGATGTCTCCTTGGATCAAGCAGCTATTACCTCACTAAAAGTTACAGATTAGTTGCATAAACTGTTATTGGTAAGTCTCCTAAATGTAATCCCTACCCTGGCTACACCCCCACACACGCAACTTCATAGTCCAATTTGTTTTATTTTTATTTATTCTTATTTTTGTTGTGTATGTGAAAATACAGGTTTGCAAAAGATACAAATATAACAGTGAAACGGTTTGTCAGATATAAACAGTTGTACATAGTAATTAACACACATTTTTTTGTTTGTTTTTAGTTTTTTTTTTTCGTTCTGTTGTCAGTTTTGTTGTAGCGTGATGAGCTTAGCGGAGATTTAGGAAGACTTTTGCAATAAGGTCTGAGTGATACGTGAAGTAGATTGGTGATGGGTAAGAGTCTACCAGGTCGTGGTCATGGTTTCCATTGGCCCCTCCCATGACATTAGAGTGGCTGAGTGACACGCCATATAGACTCTTCTTAGTCCATTTTAAATGTTGAGAGGTATGCATTATATCTTTATATAATTTGCAAAGAGTTATTTGTACCTTTACATTTTTTTGAATCTGTCATTCACATCATCTGCACGGTGTGTTGTGAAAATCTCCAGGCTATGACATATGCTTATGTGCAGAGCCCTGCTTCCTTACAACACATTGCCTTCCAAAATGGATTCCCACGGTTGCTCTGTGTTTCTTTGACCACAAATTTGGTTTATTCCACATTTCCCACGCTGCACTCTAGGAGTTATAGGAAGTGTTTGTCATTTGACCTCTGTGTGTGTAATCATAGCAGTTAAATATACAAAGTTACAAAAACACCCAGTAAAATAATGTTTCATGGAAACAGTTGTTATCAATTTGTCTAGTACAATGTTTAATTCCAAGATTTTAATATTGACGTGACCTAAAGCAATTATTTTATTAATGACACGGAAGCAAGTAGTATGCTTTCTCTTTCCTTTAATTTCCCTCCGCAGCGAAGAGAGAGATATATACAGAAGAGAAAAAATAAACATAACGTTGCATATTAACAGTGCAACCAATCAGCACTCAGCAACTAGTATATAAGGTGTAGCACTCCACAATTATTCCTCTTTCCGTAGCGATCCGAAGACCAGCAGAAACCAAAAACTGTAGAACCGAACTGAACTGTGAAACTGGATAGTAGACATATGTCCTTCCTCCGTGGGATAACTATTTAACCCCTTCTCAAGGCTTCTGAACGTTGACGTATGCATTCAAGCTAAATTGAAGAGAAAAATGGTAATAACAAAATTGAAATTCGACTTCAACTTATATATGTAACAATATGTGACGTATTATCAAGAAAACAATTCAAAGTTACACGTATAATATAGCAAAACCAAATGTCCTTACCTGAGATTTCATGTCATGAACCTATTATTATGTATACTTACCAACACAGACCTTAATAACTGTAGTCATTCAGTAAAAAGGTCATCCCAAAGTCCCAACACAAGGGAGGATGGGTGGGAATAATACTCGCCTCCGTGTTATTAACATAGGCGTGTGCCGGGTGTGCCTGGGCACACCCTAATCCCCGCGGCACGCCTATGGAGTGAGACCGGCAGGAGAGATCTCAAGATCTCCCCTGTCGGCTCATGCAGAGCCGGCGCTATCAGAGTGTCTGCTCATGCAGAGCCGGCGCTATCAGACCGCCGGCTCTGCTCTCAGCCTCCCTCCCCACTGCAGCAGGGAGGGAGGCAGGAGAGGACCCGGGGAGCTGAACCAGCAGCTCCGCCGGGTTCCTCTCGCTAGATCACAGGGTCTAGAGTTCACTCTCCACTGGACCACCAGGGAAAGCAGCAGGAACAAGAATCCCCCCTCCCTACATAAGGTAAGAGTAGAGGGGGGTTATTAAGTAATGTACCCCCACCTCCACCCCCCACAGTCACCCACACACATACAGCACGCCCATACACACAGCACCTACACACATACAGTACACACACGCACCCTCACACACACACATACAGCACCTTCACACATCACACACACATACAGCACCCTCACACACATACAGCGCGCACACACACAGCACCCTCACACATACAGCACCTTCACACATACAGCACACATACAACACACATACATACAGCACACACACACATACAGCACCCTCACACACATACAGCACACACACACATACAGCACCCTCACACAGATAGCACACACATACAGCACCCTCACACACATAGCACACACATACAGCACCCTCAAACACACAGCATCCTCTCACACACAGCACAGAAACAGGACCCTAACAAACACAAACAGCACCCTCACACACACAGCACACAAACTGCACCCTCACACACACACACACACACACACCACCCTTACACACACAACACCCTCAAACCACCCTCACGCAGCACACACACAGCAGTGTATGTGTGTGTGTGTGTGTGTGTGTGTATATATATATATATATATATATATATATATATATATATATAAATATACACACATACATATACACATGGCGTGTGTTTGTGCTTTAGGGTGCACACCCTAATGCAATAGGCTGAGCAGGCCTATGGTTATTAATAAAATCATGGTAGGAATGTCGCTTTCCTGGTGCCCAAGCGTTTGCCAGGAGTTGGGCAGTTGTGTATGAAACATCTTCGACTGTCCATGGTCCCCGGAAATGAGCCGCGCTAATAGACGTAAAAGGCCTTGGTCTATGAGTCCGTGACTCTCCCCGTCCAGACTGGTCATGTTAATAGTAATATCTGGAAATCTTATTAAAGACACGGAGGCCTATTATGCTATTTTAAAGCTGAGCCACAACCAACTCTGAGAAGTGTTGAATAGGTCTAAAGTAGTAATTTCGGAAAGTGGATTCCGTAGACCAATCTGCAGTTTTCAATATGTCTTCTAATCTACAACCTATAGTCAATGCTTTCAACGGCATAGCGCCTCTGGCTGAATGACCTGGGAATCTAGGATATAAGATGTTCTTAGTCACAGACTTCGTCCTTTGTGAGAGTCGAAGGATACTCCTTTGGGGGTGAACAGCCGAGCTTGTTAATCCAAAGATCTGACATCAGATACTCGTTTGGAGGAAAGCAAACAAAACAGTATGAGTAACTTGGCAGATAACTGTTTCAGTGATAACTCTGCAGCAGAGACAGACCACCAGCAATTGTGTTTTGCCACTGCAATACCTAAGCCGGAGTGAGAGACCGCCAGTGCCGTTGGTCCTAGTGTGAGACTTGAGTTCAGGCTGAAGAACTTCAATAAACGTTTGCTAAATTTTGCATGACCTGGCAAGAAAGTCTTTGAAAATTGTGCAGACAGAAGAGGGCTGTGGATCTCCCTTAAAGATCCAAGAGTGCTACACACTAGAGCCAGGTGACTGATTGGCTCTCTACTTGTGAGTTGAAAATTGTTACATCTACACTCATCTATTATTGTATATACCATCTGCACTATGATTGTGTCATATATTGTTTACAGGTTTCTGTAAAAGATTGCAAAAAGTGCATTCATCTTCAAATTATATTACTCAGGTACATTCGAGCTCCACTTATACTATATTGGTGTGCAATTTTAATTTCATTGTGGGGGTTAAGGGGATCCCTCACATAAGTGTTGAGCCTATCCTATTCATTGTATTTGTGTGTACATCCTTGTATATATTTATATTGACTTAATTCACCATCAATATCAATACTATTCTTCACATACGACTTAGACTTCCAGATAAAATAGTTTGTAACATTAAACTTTTTAAAAACAGAGTTGAAAGATAAATAGTTTTGGTAAAATGTTGGGAGGAACGTCTAGAGAACATCTGAACATTTAATCGTTTCAGAGTTCATTTTTGCGCATGCATTCTGACCTTCACACAATGCACGACCCCAGAATGAAATGAGTGCAGCCACTCAGATTCCTTTCTGGGGAAGTGCTGTATGTTTATTACTGTTCTGGCGAAGATGAGAACACCCTGTAAGAACAGAAATGAGTCTTTACATTTACGATCTGGCCAGCACAACATATAGATAGTGAATAATGAATTGTATGACTACCTTTAGGGAGCCTCATTATCCACTCATTTGAAAATGACAGGTCCACTTTAAATGCTCTTTATCTTAGTGCCTTTTAAAGCATGCTTGAGGCTGTAAAACACAGCCATAGTTCTTGTAACTCTACAATTTCATCCGACATGAAAGCCAATTTGATGCTTTGTGGTTCTGCAAACTATGTATTAAGTCTGCGTACCCTGCAGGTGGTACATCAAGCATAGCATTCCTTCTGGATGGCTCGACCAGGATTATCGGAGTGTAATTTTATTCAGTTAACATGCAAAGTAACTCTGTAACTTGTCAAAGTCTTTCATATTTATTTATGTATTTATTTATTTCAGCTATGTTTCAGCCATGGTACCTGTAAAATCCCCAAAAGAGTACTACGTCCAGCAGGAGGTTATTGTTCTGTTCTGTGAAACTGTAGAAAGGTATGTGTGTCAGAGTACAAAGACAAATATACTATTAATTAAAATAAACAGGTTTTTTTTCTCAATAATATGAAGAAGAAGTGGAAGGTTTAAGAACCCTCTTGTTTGAAATCCAAACACAAATTGTAAATGGGCATTAGGGGTGTTGTATAAAATGCATTTAAGCAAAGGAAGAGAAACTGTGTCTAAATTAGAATCTGTGTGAAGCTAATTGTGCATAAATACAGATTTATTTTTGTGCTCTCTATCTATTGATGTCTGATGACTACCTCCATAAAAAAGAGCCAGTGTAAGGAATATGTGCCAAAAAGGAAAAACAATCTATTTTTAAAAAAGTATTCTGTAGTCTACAGTGTATAAACATTAGACATCTTTATATATGCTATAACAGTGTAAACACTCTATCCGACATCTTTATACATACCATAATAGTGCAAAGCCTCAGACATATTTATACATACCATAATAGTGCAAAGCCTCAGACTTATTTATACATACCATAATAGTGCAAAGCCTCAGACATATTTATACATACCATAATAGTGCAAAGCCTCAGACATATTTATACATACCATAATAGTGCAAAGCCTCAGACATCTTTATACATACCATAATAGTACAAAGCCTCAGACATATTTATACATACCATAATAGTGCAAAGCCTCAGACATATTTATACATACCATAATAGTGCAAATCCTCAGACATATTTATACATACCATAACAGTGCAAAGCCTCAGACATATTTATACATACCATAATAGTGCAAAGCCTCAGACATATTTATACATACCATAATAGTGCAAAATACCAATCCAAAATCTTTAAACATGCCATAATAATGCAAAACCTTAATCAGACCTCTTTCTACATACAATAACATTGCAAAACCTCAATCAGACATCTTTATGTATGTGTGTGTATATATATATATATATGTATATATATATATATATATATATATATATATATATATATATATATTGGAAGGCATGGCCTGAAGTTGTGGGAGGGGCTATAGACCTATAAAAGGGACTCCCCCTCTCCCTACTTACCTTTGTTGGTCAGACGAATAGACTGTTCAAGGTCAGCATTTGCATGAGATCCACTTCCAGGTCATACAAGACGCCATTTTGGTTTCACCTTTGCTCCATGAGGTCTCTTACTCCAAGCTGTGTCCATGAATCCTGCAGCAGGGATTTCCGTTAATCCAGTGGCTTTCTCTCCGGTCAGCATCGCATTTGGTGTCTCAGGGACTCTCAAACCGTAAGTTGACCCACCTGTCGCGCCAGGATTAGTTCCCACGGCGTTCAACACAGCACGGGTCCTCACTTTACGGTTTCCTTTCGTTTTGCACGGTTATTTCGTTACCTTATACTCACCTAGCTGTTTATGTAAAATCTGTTGGTTAAAATCTGTTTTGGTTAAAAATCTGTTGGGTTAAAACTACAAACGACATACAATTTTTTCGCCTACACACTGACCCCTATCGGTCCTCATTCAATGTAGTACAGGCTTCTCAGATATTATTGCATTTCATGTACAAACCACTGCATTTGGGCCTACACACTGACCCCTATCGGTCATCGGTGTACTACAGGTTTCTTAGACGTTTTTGCATTTCATGTACAAACCACTGCATTTTCACCAAGACACTGACCCCTACCGGTCATTCTGTGTACTACAGGCATCTCAGACATTATTGCATTTCATGTACGAACCACTGCATTTGTGCCTACACACTGACCCCTATCGGTCATCGGTGTACTACAGGTTTCTTAGACGTTTTTGCATTTCATGTACAAACCACTGCATTTTCACTGCATTTTCACCAAGACACTGACCCCTACCGGTCATTCTGTGTACTACAGGCATCTCAGACATTATTGCATTTCATGTACGAACCACTGCATTTGTGCCTACACACTGACCCCTATCGGTCATCGGTGTACTACAGGTTCTTAGACGTTTTTGCATTTCATGTACAAACCACTGCATTTTCACCAAGACACTGACCCCTACCAGTCATTTGGTGTAACTACAGGCATCTCAGACACTATTGCATTTCATGTGCAAACCAACGAACCACTGCATTTGCGCCTACACACTGACCCCTACCGGTCATTCGGTGTACTACAGGCTTCTTAGACATTATTGCATTTCATGTACAAACCAACGAACCACTGCATTTTCATCTAGACACTGACCCCTACCGGTCATTCGGTGTACTACAGGCATCTCAGACATTATTGCATTTCATCTACAAACCAACGAACCACTGCATTTGCGCCTACACACTGACCCCTATCGGTCATTCGGTTTACTACAGGCTTCTCAGATATTATTGCATTTCATGTACAAACCAACGAACCACTGCATTTTCACCTAGACACTGACCCCTATCGGTCATTCGGTGTACTACAGGCTTCTTAGACGTTTTTGCATTTCATGTTCAAACCAATTAACCACTGCATTTTAACCTACACACTGACCCCTACCAGTCATTCAGTGTACTACAGGCTTCTCAGATATTATTGCATTTCATGTACAAACCAACGAACCACTGCATTTTCGCCTAGACACTGACCCCTATCGGTCATTCGGTGTACTACAGGCTTCTTAGACGTTTTTGCATTTCATGTTCAAACCAATTAACCACTGCATTTTAACCTACACACTGACCCCTACCAGTCATTGCATTTCATGTACAAACCAACAAACCACTGCATTTTCACCTAGACACTGACCCCTATCGGTCATTTGGTGTACTATAGGCTTCTTAGAAGTTTTGCATTTCATGTACAAACCACTGCATTTTCACCAAGACACTGACCCCTACCAGTCATTTGGTGTAACTACAGGCATCTCAGACATTATTGCATTTCATGTACAAACCAACGAACCGCTGCATTTGCGCCTACACACTGACCCCTACCAGTCATTCGGTGTACTACAGGCTTCTCAGACATTATTGCATTTCATGTACAAACCAACGAACCACGGCATTTTCGCCTACATGCTGACCCCTGCCGG